AATTATGTCGTCTTCCGCATCAAGTAAGTATTTCTTATATACTAAATTCGTGATGAAGTTTACAAGAAAATATACTTATCAAACATTATTTGACCATTTATGTAATTAATTAATAATAAAGGTAAGTATTTTTGTGTGATCATATTGTATACACAAATAAAAACAACACAATACCGTCCACAAATCCAGATAAAAAATTTTGATATTTAATTTGTGTTAGTGGCAGCGTACGTCATAAAGTTATTGTCAATATAATTTTTATATTTAATTCTCATCACTAATTTATGCAAAACTAGTACAGTGAAACCAATTATAATCACAATAATTTGTCATTGGCAAATAAAGAATGTATATTTTTTTCTTTGCTAATGACAGTTGATGACCCACCAAAAGTTGGAGAAATAGACCATCTATGGAGCAGTCTTGATCAGTTGGTGGTCTCACGTGGAAACTTGATCTTCTTCTTCTTTATCTCTGTTTTTCCTTTAAAATAAATTTTGTTACACATTCGCTAGCTTGTTATACAATTGAATTAATGGTAAAATTCAAGAGTAAAAATTGAACTAGTGATTTGGTCCTTAACAATTAAGATAACAATTTTCTAAGTATGGAGTTAATAAAGGTGATAATTTTTTTCAATGGTGATATTTTTTCTAAGTATGGAGTTAATAATGGAGAACTCAGTGTATGTCGAGGAATTAACAAGTAGATATGAAGTCCAGACATCATAAAAAGAAAAAGATATACCCGAGCCGCAGTTTTGGTCGCGTAGTCTCTTTGACCGCGACGGTTAGAACCCCAGTGTTGGGTTTCAACTAGGGGAAGGACCTTCATCAGATACGAGGTAATTATCGTACTGTCAAGATTGGTGCCAAGGGTTGAAGGCAAGTCGACTCAATAGTGCCCTGGTCGACATGAGTCTGCTTAGGGATTGTGCCACCAGTACTTGAGTTCGACCACTTCTTGGCCACTTTCTCAGGAGGAGGAGGAAAAGAAGGAACAAGAGCCCTCTGGGCCTGGTC